CGATTCGATTCGATTTCGATGGTTTCCGATTTGGTTTCCGATTTCCTACTGGAGGCATACCAGCCTGCCGATTTCAGCCGGTTCGACTTCTCCCGACGTGGCTGCCGATTTCCGCCGATCCGATTCATTTCGATCGCCAATCCGACTTGTCGCTTCTGGGACTCCTAGATGGGGTCCGAGTAGATGGGGGGTCGAAGGATCGCGCCGCATCGCCGATGTATCGGCGATGCGGCTCGATGTGGAGCCCGATTTTCTTCATGTCGACGTTGCCGATGCTTCGTCGGCGTCGAGTGCATCGCCGATGCATCGTCGATGCATCGTCGATGCATCGTCGATGTATCGGCGACGCGGCGTGATTCTCCGACCCCATCTACTCCGACCCCATCCAGGAGGCCTCTAAGTCTGGGCCCTCCTGGCGGTAGCGGTGCCCTCTTCTTGTCTGCTGCTCCGCATCCTCCGCCCCCCCCCCCTGCTCGAGGAAGGGCGAGGTCCGGCTTCTGGTTGCCACCGACGTCATCGGTAGGGGGATCGACATACCCAGCGTCTCGCACGTGGTCATCTTCGAGATGGGTTCCGTGCGCGTGCGGCTTCGTGATCCTTCATGTTGCTCCCTCCTCCTCGTCTTAAATCGGGCATGTTCCTCTACAGAGGAATATTCAGCATTAGCAAATCAAACACAGTATAAGGGGCGGATTTGTTTGGACTATTGTAATGGCCTTTGGCCAGTGCCGCCGATCCCGGGCGCTCCCGATGCGTGTGGGAACGGACGATGACGACGACGACGACCGACGACCAGGTCAACGACGGACGATGATGACGACGACGTCCCTCCTCCCCCCGCTGCCCTCCCCGATTTCTTCGACCCCCCCCCGCTTGAGCTCGACCCCCCCCTCCGTCCCTGCTCGAGCTTCCTCCTTGGACCCCTCCCCCCGCTTGAGCTCGATCCCTCCCCCGTCCTCGCTCGAGCTCCTCCCCTCCCTCGATTCTTGGACCCCCCCCCCGCGCTGAACCCCCCCCGCTTGAGCTCGACCCCCCCCTCGTTCGACCCCCCCCCGTCTCGCTCGAGCTCCCCCCCCCCCCCTCGATTCTTGACTCCCCTCCCCTCGCGCTGACCCCCCCCCCGCTTGAGCTGACCCCTCCCTCCGTTCGACCCCCCCCCCCGTCCTCGCTCGAGGAGCTCCCCCCCCCCCTCGAGTCTTGGACCCCCCGCCGCGCTGACCCCCCCCCCCGCTTGAGCTCGACCCCCCCCCTCCGTCCCCGCTCGAGCTTCCTCCTTGGACCCCCCCCCCCGCTTGAGCTCGACCCCCCCCCCGTCCTCGCTCGAGCTCCCCCCCCCTCGATTCTTGGACCCCCCCCCGCGCTGGGCGTTCACTGAATATTGCGTGGGTAATTCGCTGGATCCCGACCCCCCCCCCCCAGAGCGAAGCTTGAGCGAGCTCAAGCCCACTCTCTCAGAAACTCACACGCCGGATCGGCGGATTTCCCATTTTATTTTATGTTTTATGCCATTATTATTATTCTTATTATTATTATTATCATTATTATTATTATTAGTATTATTATTACTATTACCATTATTATTATTATTAGTATTATTATTATTAGTTATTTATTGTTATTAGTATTAATATTGTTATTGTTCTGATTAATAGTATCATTATTATTATGATTATTATTATTATCATCATTATTATCATTATTACTATGATTATGATTCGGATTATGATTATGATTATGATTGTGATTATTATTATTATTATTATTATTATTATTATTATTATTATGATTCGCGAAAATAAAAATGAACAAACAAGCAAACGCAACTGTTTTTATGTTTTCCGCTTCCTCCTCTTTCGTATGCCTCCTCCTCTCCCAATCCGCTCTTCCTCTCACTCCTCCTGTCCTCGTCTTATTCACCTCCTCTCCTCCCTCACCTTTCTCTCGTCACCCTGTTGTCCTCCCCTCTGTCCTCTTCCTTCCTCCCCCGCCTTCCCCGTCCTCCTCCTCCTCCTCCTCCTCCTCCTCCTCCTCCTCCTCCTCCTCCCTGGCGCCGCGGCCAAGCGGTACAGCCTGGGCGCCGTGTGGCACCTCCTTAATGAGGTGTACTGCCGATGATCCCATGTGGGCTGAGGCATGTCCCCTCCCCTCCCCCCCTTCCCCTTTCCCTCCTGGGGGCGATCGCTGTCACGGTGTGCGCCAGGGGGACCCTCCGCCCCCTCCTTTTGGGGCCCCTTTGAGAGGGAAGGCGGCACGGCCCAGGCCAGGGAGTGGCCTTCCCTCCCCTCTCCCCCGCTTCCAACCCCTCCCGGGTCCTCGCAGCCAGGTTTGAGCCCTGGTGGTTGGGTCCTTCGCTTCCTCCCCGTGGCACCTCCAGGCTGATGTTGGCGACAGTGGTCCGTCCGCCACGGTTGTCCCTTCCTCTCCCCCTCTTCGGGGTGATGGAATGGCAACGTGAGGTGCTGAGGTGTTGCTGGGAAGGTTCGCCTTGTCCCAGCAGCACCTCAGTACGGGGCCCATTTTCGTTGATCTCTGAGGTGCACCGCCGATGACGCTACAGAGGCGGGGCCCGCGGCATACAGCCTTCAACCGTCTTGGTCGGAGCGCTCTTCGCCGCGGGCTCAATGGCAGAAGCGACGCGGGGTGCAGGCTAAGGGCTACCTGCTCTTTTTCTTTCGGATCCCAGTTTCCAGCTTGTCAGATCGGGCCCAAGGAGGCAACATGCTGGGCAGAGGTTCGAGCCCTCTGTTACTCCGCTCTGGATAGTGTAATACCTGGTTGTTGGCTTGCTGCGGCCTTGTCTCTGTTAGGGCCCGGCGCCAGCCAAGCACATGCAGCAGCCAAGGTTTTATACTGCCCTCTTGAGGGTGGACGGTCCCTTTTTGTGCCTGTTTTCCCAATGGTTCGCGGCCCGATCTGACGCTGTGCGTCATGTCGTTGTGCGACTGTGGGCGCTGTGCGACTGTGGTGCGTGTTGGGCACTAGTTTGGTGCTGTGCACCCCCTTCGGGGCTTATCATTCGTTCATTCATTCATTCATTCCCTACCTAGGCTCCGGGGCAGGGCAGTGCACACCGCCCTGGGCAGTCTCTGTCTTAAAGGGGCCGGGCAGTGCACACCGCCCTGGGCGAGTCCCCCAGAATCCGCCACGCGGTTCTCCAGTTACGTCCCCTTAGCTTAGCGTTGCGTATCTCATCTTAGCTTAGGTTATTTCATCTTAGCTTAGCTTAGCTTCATCTTAGTTCAGGTTTGTCTTAGCTTAGCTTATCTTCATATTAGCATAGCATAGCATATCATAACATAACATGGTATAGCATAACATAGCGCAGCTTAGCATATCATATCATAGCATAGCTTAGCATAGCACAGCGCAGCATGACATAGCATATCATCGCATAGCATATCATCGCATATCATATCATAGCGCAGTATAGCATAACATAGCATAGCATGTCATATCATAGCATAGCATAGCACAGCATAGCATAGCATAGCGCAGCATAGCATGGCATGGTATATCATTGCATTTCATAACATAGCATAGCAACTAATGCTGCTTTCCTAGGGGCTCCAACTTCTAGGTAGGGTCGCACTGGGGTAATTCATTCATTCATTCATTCATTCATTCATTCATTCATTCATTCATTCATTCATTCATTCATTCATCCTCCTTCTCCTGGACCTGCTCGTCCCTCCTGTGTCCCTCCTGCTCCCCGACCACCCGGGGAGGCGAGGACGGGGACGCAAACCCACACGATTACAGCCGAGGCTGATTAGTAGGTCCCTGCCAGATCAAGCGTGCCCTTGTGTCATGTGCCTCGCGACCCATGCTTCTGCATTCTCGTGGCTCTGTGGCCCTCGGGAGAGTCTTGTGTCCTCTCGCGTGTCCTCTTCATTGCACCCCGACTGTAACAGGACGTCGAGCAGCAAGCACACACGGAGTGGGACACCGCCCGCGCTTCGGCAACCACGTCCGCGCGGCCCGAGGTCCCCCCCCCCTCCCCCTCGTGGGGCCGGCCTGGGCCCCTAGGAGGGCGGAGGACGAGAGCGGGGGGAGAAAAAGAGGAAGGGAGCAAGGCGGCCAAACGCGGAGGAGGAAGGAGGAGGAGGAGGAGGAGGAGGAGGAGGAGGAGGAGGAGGAGGAGGAGGAGGAGGAGGAGGAGGAGGAGGATGAGGAGGCGGAGGAGGGAGGAGGAGGAGGCGGAGGAGGAAGAGGAGGAGGAAGAGGAGGAGGAGGAGGAGGAGAGGAGGAGGAGAGGAGGAGGAGGAGGAGGAGTGGAGGTGGAGGAGGAGGAGGAGGAGGAGGAGGAGGAGGAGGAGGAGGAGGCGGAGGCGGAGGAGGAGGAGGCGGAGGAGGAGGAGGTGGAGGCGGAGGAGGAGGAGGCGGAGGAGGAGGAGGAGGAGGAGGAGGAGGGGGAGGCGGAGGAGGAGGAGGAGGAGGGAGTGGGAGGAGAAGGAGGAGGAGGAGGAGGAGGCGGAGGAGGAGGAGGAGGAGGAGGAGGAGGAGGAGGCGGAGGAGGGGAGGAGTAGGAGGAGGAGGAGGAGAGGTGGAGGAGGAGGAGGAGGAGGATAGGCGGGCGGAGGGGAGGAGGAGGCGGAGGCGGAGGAGGAGGAGGAGGAGGAGGAGGAGGAGGCAGGGGATGAGGAGGAGAAGGAGGAGAGGAGGAGGAGGGAGCAGGAGGAGGAGGAGAAGGAGGAGGAGGCGGAGGAGAAGGAGGAGGCGAGGAGGAGGAGGAGGAGGAGGAGGGGGAGGAGGAGGAGGAGGAGGAGGAGGAGGAGAGAGGAGGAGGAGGAGGAGGAGGCGGAGGAGGAGGAGGAGGCGGAGGAGGAGGAGGAGGAGGAGGAGGAGGAGGAGGATGGGGAGGAGGAGGAGGAGGCGAGGAGGCAAGGCTGCGGGGTGCAGGGCGTGCCCCATTCGGCCGGGTCTCTCCGCCCGATCGTCCGGCTTCGCTTCAGCAGGACCTCCCCTCCCCGCTCCCCTCGTCCGGGCCCCGCCGCTCGCAGGCTCGATCGACGACTACGTGCACAGGATCGGGCGCACGGCGCGGGGGAAGGACGGCAGAGGCCCCGCCCGCGCCGACTGGCGGCCATGGGGCCTTCCCAGCCGCTCCCCCCCAGGGGGCAGGAGGACGAGGGAGGGTCTTCCTCTCCCTCCATTTTTTCCCTTGTAAACCATGTTTTCCTGTCGCACCCCGAGGACAGTTTTTTTGGCGGGCCGGGCGTTTCGCCTGAGACTTCCTCACCATTTATGCCCCTGAAGCTTAAAACCTGGCAAGAGTTTCACAGATGGAGGGCGGGTGGTTTTCAAAATGTAGCTCTCGCCTTCGCGCCGCGCGCATTCGTTTGAAAACATTGCAAGAGTTTCACGGATTGAGGGCGGGTCGTTTTCAAAATGTGGCTCTCGCTCTAGCGCCGCGCACATTCGTTGCACAAACTGTACGAACTTCACGGATTGAGGGCGGTTTCTTTTCAACATATGGCTCTCGTCTCAGCGCCGCGCACATCCGTTTTAAACGTTTACAAGAGTTTCACGTATTGAGGGCGGTTGGTTTTCAAAATGTGGCTCTCGCTTTAGTGCCGCGCTCAATCGTTGAACAAATCAACAGCTTCATGTATTGAGGGCGGGTCGTTTTCAAAATGTAGTTCTCGCCTTAGCGCCGCGCACATTCGTTTTCAACATTTGCAAGATTTTTACGGATTCCAGTGACCAACGTACCAGACATGGTGTTTTGGAAGGCTTCAGGATCATGCGGGTGCAATAGTTATGTTGATTCGCGGCGTTGGAATCCCAAAATCGGCGTTCTGGTACGATTCCGGATCGTCAAGACGCAGCAGTCAGGTTGATCCGTGGCGTTGAAATCCCGAGATCAATGTTTTGGCATGCTTCGGGGTCTTCAAGCGGTTGTCTTCCAACGAGGCAGTTCCTTCAATGGAAATGAACCCTTGCAGGGGCCTATGAGGAGGGAGCTTGGAGGGAGGGTCAATTCCAACATCGTTGATGACTCTTGGGTTTGCACTGGTCGTCCTCCTCCTCCTCCTCGTACTCCTGCTCCTCCTCCTCCTTACCCTCCTCCTCCTCCTCCTCCTCCTCCTCCTCCTCCTCCTGATTCCTAATTCCTGGTGGCTGGAATGGACCTCGTTCCTAAGTAGCCCGCCTTTTTCCAGGGCCAGTCGGCCCCGGTGGGTTGATCAAACTAGGACCAGGTGGCCTCTGGAGCACCGCTCCAAGGGTCACCAGCGGTTTGTAGAACTTCTCCTCCTCCACCTCGTCGTCCCCCTCCTCTCCTCCACCTCGCCCCCCTCGTCCTCCTCCTCTTCCCTCCTTTGGGCGCCTGTTTGGGTCCTCTTGGGGCGGTCTTGGGAGCTTTAGTGGCGCTCTTGGAGCCATCTTGGAAGACATCGATACATCAAGAGGGGAGCTTCACTTACGCTTGTCCTTCTAGAGTACCTCACATCGCCTCTTGGGGCGCTTTTGGGGCGCTCTTGGAGCGCTCCTGGGCGCTCTTGGGGCCGTCTGGCGGCTCTCCTGGGCCCCTCTTGGGGTCCTTTTGGGGCCCTTCTGGGCCATCTTGGAGTCATCTTGAGGCCCTGGATGGCCATCGGAAACGAAACGGCGAGAAAGCCAACACCATTGATTTACCTTCGGTTTTTGACGACTTTTGGTCTCTTGGGGGCTTCCACCCACCCACAGGACATAGCCTGTGTGAATTGTTCCGCCGTCGGGGACGCTTGTCCTGTGGCGGTGGGGAAGTACACTTGGCATCTGCTACGGGATATACGCCATTATTGGCGGAGCAGTTCTTTCTCTGCAGTTGTTCGTCCGCGAATATGTTTCCCTGTCGCCCACCTGCTGTTGCTCCAGCTCCAGGCTCCCGCCGCTGCCTGCCCCCCGTCCTTCGCGGTGACCTCGTGAGGCCACGCGCTCGTGTTCTTCGAGTATTGGCACAGGGACCCGTTCGTGGCTATGCAGCTCATAGGCGCCACCCTGGCCCCTCGCGGCTTCTTTCGCAGGCTCAGAGGTTGACACCATCACCAAAAGCGGCGGTGTGCCCCCACCGAAGAAAGAAGATCCCGATCTCGGTGATGGTAGTAATCTTCTGGCTTCCAAGGTGACCGACATATTGCCACCAACACCGAAATCTAGGATCATCTTTCCCCTGTGGAGGCAGCCCTCTGTGTTGGTGTGGGTGCCCATGTCCAGGCCTCCAACTCTTTCTTCCTCCTCCTCCACATCAGGTACGTAGTGTGGATTCAAACGTCTTTTCTCCGCCCGCGAGCCCACGGCGGCAGAGCCAGCGCTCACGGGCATTGCCGACTGCACGTGGATGGGCGCATAGCGCGCCAGCGACAGGTATAGTGCAGCATACCATGCACCCGTCTTCTCGTGCACCTCGGGACAATGGCTTCGGTTGCGAGCAGCGAGCGAGGGATCTTTCCTCCTGTCTCCTCGCCTCCTCTCTCATTCCCGCCATCTCCTCCGTACGACCGAGCAGGAAATCAAGGCAGGAACATAAATCTTCCGAGTTGCGCGCGGATTTTTATGTCGGGGTTGGACCCCCCTGACGGCACCTCTGGCGCCGCCCCTGACGATCTCTGCGCGCCCGGGAGGGTGGTTCAGCGCCTGACCAAGGAAGCCGCGGGGGTTTTCGAAAACTCATGATTGTCAAGTTTCTTGCTTTTCTTTACGAGCTGTCAGATCGTATTGGAGTTCAGGCCTCCTTGCGGTCCACGGCCCAAGCCCTCGCCAGAGAGAGAGAGAGAGATGCCGGCCGGTGTCCCCCGGCCAGCTGCAGGAGACTGACTGGTTGAGAGGGCAGTCGGGCTGGTCGTCATCTCAGCTGGCGTCGCCTCGCTGATCTCCTTCTTTCAGGGGAGGGAAAGCCACCCCGACCCCGACATTTGGCGTTTACTAAACGGCCCTGGACGTTGACTAAACGGCCCTGCCCTGTTCGGTTCCTTCCTTGGATGCGTTTACTAAACGGCTTCGCTTGTCGGGGTGCTTATTATGGGGGTGGATTTTCTGCTCTCTATTCTTGGGGATTCCATATCAAATTGCTCTGCGCTGGCAGAAGTGCTGCAGAACGCGAAGCAGGCGGTCCCGGACGAGCTCAAGCGCATCGCCGGCGAAGTCGCCAGGGACCGCGCCCCGGCCTTGCACCGCTTCATGCCTGGAGGAGGAGGAGGAGGAGGAGGAGGAGGAGGAGGAGGCGCAGGACTGGGAGGATCGAAGGACAGGAGGACGACGAGGAGTACCCGCCCTGCTTCCCCTGCGGCCTCCCCACGCGCCGCCCCGCCTCGCCGCCTGCCGGTGTGCTGCGAGGACTGCGCTCAGTGGCTACCCAGGGTTAAGTCGGGCACGTCCCTTTACAGGAGAACTAAGAAACACACATCGGGGACGTTTTTTTGTTCTTCCCAACCATTCTGTGGTGTTGGGTCCTCGTTTTGAAGAGACGTTGCCCCGCGTTCCTCCTCCTCCTTCCTCCTCCTCCCCTTCCTCCCCCCTCCTCCCCCTCCCACACCCATTCTGGCACACCCCTCACACGTTTCGTGGCCCCATAGGGAGCTCCACCGAAGGCCCCAGTGGCTGCGCCCGCATGCGGTTCCCCCCCATTCTGGCACACCCCTCACACGTTTCGTGGCCCCATAGGGAGCTCCACCGAAGGCCCCAGTGGCTGCGCCCGCATGCGGTTCCACCCCCCATTCTGGCACACCCCTCACACGTTTCGTGGCCCCATAGGGAGCTCCACCGAAGGCCCCAGTGGCTGCGCCCGCATACGGTTCCACTCCCCATTCTGGCACACCCCTCACACGTTTCGTGGGTGGCTCCATGGGGAGCTCCACCGAACGCACCAGTGGCTGCGCTCGCATGTGGTTCCCCCCCCATTTCGGCACACCCCTCACACGGTTCGTGGCCCCATAGGGAGCTCCACCGAAGGCCCCAGTGGCTGCGCTCGCATGCGGTTCCACCACCTTTTTCGGCACGCCCTTCACACGTCTCGTGGCCCCATAGGGAGCTCCACCGAACGCCGCAGTGGCTGCGCTCGCATGCGGTTCCACCCCCCATTTGGCACACCCCTCACACGTTTCGTGGCCCCATAGGGAGCTCCACCGAAGGCCCCAGTGGCTGCGCTGGCATGCGGTTCCACACCCCATTCTGGCA